CTAAGGCTGTATAGAGGGGACACCTGAAAGCATCGCTAGATTCGATACCCTCTCACGGTGAAGAGGGAGGGAGACCATTTCTTTTCTTCAGTGGGTCAGACCAATTCTGTTACAAAGTAAAGAAGAAATTTCAGTTTGCAAATATTGATGTCGTGGGTAATATACTAATATTTGTTTACATTCTTAGGCCATTTTATGTACTAGATTATGTGATTGTTTTGTAGGTATACATTTACAAATAGTGCATGGGCATGTGAAGGAAATGAATCATACATGCGGCGCATCGCGATGCGCTGCACTGCGCACGTGCGCCGCACGGCGCATCCCGCACGACACGCGCGCACTGCATGCGGCGCACCTCCAAAAATGGGGGTCAAAAAAAAAAAAAAAAAAAGTTGTGAGGGGCGGTAGTAGACCCGGCCCCCTGCTCGCGTAAAATAAGAAACGGGCAGCCAGATTTTTTTTGGAGGCCGCGCGTTGGCCCGCAAGCTTTTAGTAATCTGTAGTTCGGGTAACACTCTGTGTGTATGGTAGGGTTATTGCAGTCTGTATGGTAGGGTTCTTGTATGCCAGAGTCAGTCATGATGAGGGTCGCGATTTCTCAAAACGTTCTCTTCTTATTACTTCTGAAGTAGAAAACGACTGAACTGACAGCCGTTTTTCCTGGAATGGAAAAAAATCAAGAATTTCTCTGTGCGAGTGTCGCCCGGCATGTCCAACCTGTCAGAACCTCAACGGTAATTGCAGTCTGTATGGTAGGGTTCTTGCAGGCCAGATTCAGTCATGATGAGGGTCGCGATCTCACAACACGTTCTCTTCATATTACTTCTGAAGTAGACAACGACGGAACTGACAGCCGTTTTTCCTGGATTTTTTTTTTTAATAACAAAAAGAAAAAAACGTAAAGGAAGAATTTCTTTGCACGAGTGAAGCCCGGCGCGTCCAACCTGTCAGAACCTCAACGGTAATGTTTACCAACCGGCTCGCTGCACTACTCTCGACATGCACAAGAAGACATATATGGAAATGTATCTTTCCATGCTCAAGCGGAGGATTCAGTCTCATTTGTTCAGAGATTCTCCAAAAAAAAACAAAGAAAGCTTCCAGAGATATGTTACGTGCTTACCTGATTCATCGGCCCTTCGCTCTCCACCACCCAACGAATGAATGAATCTTCCCCCAGAACATGGAAAGATACACCGCCATATTATTTGTCCTTTGTGCATGTCGCCCCGCTTCCGGATTCATGTTGCCCGTTGATAAGGGCGGTTCTTCGGTCCGATAGTGTCAGCACACGGTTTCTTCTCTCTCTCTCTCTCTCTCTCTCTCTCTCTCTCTCTCT